TGAACACTTAATTAAGAACACATTCATCTCATTTGTAGATGTCGTGAAATTCAAAAAGCTATGCAAAAGAGAATATTTTTAGTAGCTCATTGACATGCAGAAATAACATAAAAAACACCAAGTAGAAGTAACACAAAATTATATTACTGAATTTTTTTGTAAGTAATTTTTGGAAATATAAATTAAACAACTCTATTTGTATTATTCTTGCGCCTAAAATGAATAAGAAAAAATAAAATTCTTAAACCACATGAGAAGAATACAAACACTGTAAAGAAAAATGTTTTGTTCTTGTCTTAAATCCATGAATGTCCAGTCAAGACATTCCAACCTCGTTTTTATCTTCACTTGAAGTATATAACAATTTTAAATATTAATTTTAATCTTTTCATGTTAAATTTTGAATAAAAAACATCAATTATCAAAAAAATTCTCCTTTACTTACTTCTAGAATAATAAATTGCAAACACCTACTTTCTTGGTGAATATTTATTGTATGCATATAACTCTTGAACAAATATATATTTGTGATAATAGTAAATTTTTAATCCAAAAGAATTGATATAGCTTAAATAAATAATTTTTTTGTTGAAAACCTTTCATGTTCTTTTTGCACTCAGTTTCTAACTTATCAATAAAAGCATTAATGATCATATCATCATTTCTATTATTATTATTATTATTTATGTTATTATTATCAACACAATTATCATCAAAATAAACATTATATATTAGTAGAGAATACCAACATATATTTATCTCATCATAAATAAAATTCTTAAAATTTATATGATATTCATCTCATTTAAAAAGTTGTTTCATCTGTTTAAGACTCTGAAACAAATTCTCAAACATAGCTATAAATTTATGATCACTTTCCTCACAATCCTTCATTTTTTCTCTTTTTCTTCTTCTTCACTAATTAATATGATAATTCTTCAATTTATCTATGTAACATTATCACCACTAGTTAATTTTATAGTTTATCTTCACACGTCTTTCATCCTTAATCACTGCATGTTTTTAGAAATAAAAACAACTAAGTAAACAAATTACTTCAAAGATTATCTTGCATCACTCATCTAGCAAGCTGCCACTACACACACACACAGACACACACTTGATATCAGTATATGGTAGAAGAGAAATTAGATTTTAGCCACCAAAAAACAGTTAAGGAAATTCATTCTTGGAACATGAATCTAAATGAGTTCACTAATCAAGTAGCTAAACAGACAAAAGAGGGGAAAGGTGGGGAATCTAAGGAGAGACTGGAAGGGTTTTCTTTTCCTTTGCTGTTAATTTCACACATGATCTGGGAATATATATTGTGCTCTCATTTATTGAGTATTAATGAATCTGAGAGTGTATTGTGCTCTCATTTATTGAGTATAAATGTTAAAGCTATCAGATTCCAGGGCACCAAAATGGAACTCACGGGCAGTTCTAGGAAACTATTTGATTTAGTGCCTTCAAACTGTCAATGACAAATTAATTTTGCAATAGCTTCGGTCTTTATCCAAATTAAGAAATGATTAATCTTAAAATACCTTTGTGTATAGATTATTTTGAAATGATTTCTATATTATTTTTTAATAGCCACATAGTTTAGGAATGGATATTAGTGTTGTGTTTATCAACAAAATGTTTAGAATATCTGGTAACAATTCTTACAATTTTCTAATGTTGCGAATATGATTATTATATTTTTGGTAATGTGGTTGATATGTGGCTTGTTTAAGATTGTAATTGCGGTGGCAGTTTAAAATATTTTTTACTTATAAATATATTAAAATAAAAAAAGTATTATTAACATCAGCACATTAAAATAATATGAAAATATAAAAAAAAATTATTTTAAATAAAAACAAAAAAAAAATAAATATAATTTTCACTATATTATCAAACATACTCGTGCTAAAAAATTAAATATAATTTGCACTATATTATCAAATATACTCGTGGTTTCTAGAATGCTTTTTTATCTAAATTGATGTTGCATCTGAGTTTTTTGTTTTTAATTTGTTTTTTATGATTTTAATATCCTTTTATCAAAACTATTAAAAAACAAACAAATAAATATCAAATCTAAGAATAAAAGTACTATAAAATTATTTTTGAGAATTTATCCAACAATTTAAATTTTTAATTTTTAAATTAAGATGAATATTTTATATGGTATTAGAATGTCTAAACCACGATATCAAATAGTGTTAAATATGGTATAAAGAAAAACATAAAAAACATTATGCAAAGACTCGTGAATACATATATAGGTTAATTAATGGTACATTTTAGTTTTATATTTTTTTTATTTTTCATAGAATTTGTTTTTGAATATTTGTTTTAGAAAATTATGCCTTGTATTATAGGTTATTTTGTGGTTTATATCTTTCTATTTGATTTCAGGACAATAAGATATGAGAAAATTATATGTAAGAATTAACAAACTATTAAAAACCTTAATTTTAATTAAATTAAAATTATGGGAAAATATATACTTTACCTTGATAAATTATTTTATTTAAAACAACTTTATTTATTTATTTATTAGAAAATAATAATTTAATTTATTATTTCAAAAACCCTTTCTTTTTTTTCAATTAGAGGAATAAATTATACACTTTACCCAATAACCTTCATTAATTAATTTAATTCTAAATTCTAAATAAGCCAACCTGTTTTCCTATTGGGGTTTTCTTTCTTTCTTTTTAAAATTTTCGATCAATTTTTAATTTTTTCATACATAATTTTCTTGTACATGATAATATCCAATTGAATGAAACTAGCTAGATAGAATTAAGGATAAAAGTTTTAGAATATATGAACTGTTTTTTAGATAAGATGAGAAGGTTGATAGGTTGTTTTACACCTTTGACAAGAGATATCGTGCCTCTATTACATCATTATTTTATCTGAAAGGATCGTCATCGCATCTATGTCGAGGCTAAAGCTTTTGATCTTCCCAAAGATAGCTATAATCGTGTATAGAGCTTAAATAGGCCACCAATTAAAAATTATAATAGATGAACTCACTTATTCATTTTGACGAAAGAATTATTTTTTTTGAAAAGCATTATTTTTTTAATATTATAATCATTGAAACAAGTTTGGATTAAAAAAAATATAAAACTCACAAATCTATTATTCTAACGCCCCTAAATGAAATATATATATATATAAGGATAATAAAATTTGAGAGAATTATATAAATAACAAAATAAATATTTTATTTTCATTGAATATTAATAAACAATATTTAAAAAAAAAACTACATATTAGATTAACATATAAATATTCATAATATAATTATTAATGTTACCATTAAAACTCCAATTTATTGAAAACTATAATGTAATTGGATAACTATTTCAACATAATTTTAAAAATTTATTTAAAGGTAATTTTATTCTAATTTCTTTGTTTAAAAAAAAAAGATTAAAAGTTATATGTGTAGAGTCTAGAAAGACAGACCACATAATTAGCCTTAAAAAACAAAAAAAACAAAAAACAAAAAAACTTAGGCTTAGGTATGCATAGACCTTTCTAGATCCGCTTACCTAACTTTTTATATTTTAAAAAATGGATGAATGTTGCATCATTCATCTTTTTTCTTAATAGAATAGAGAGTACGCGTTACTTTCTAATTCAAATTTTGACCACCCAAAGTTTAGGTCAACGGCCCGGATCCTAAATATTTAATTTTTAGTTTGTTTTAACTTAAAAATATTTTTAAAATACCTTAAAAACCTTTATAGAGCTATTTTCATTTAAATCTCCATTTAAATAGTTTAAAAAACTATAAATCAATCCCCCCCAAAAAAAAACCATAGATCTTTTCCAACATGTTTGAAAAATAAAATCACTTATATTGAACTTTCTTCTCTAAAATAAATAAATTGACACCAACATCTGTTTTTTATGACAAGAATATAAACAGTAAAATACTTATCCCTCTATCTTTTTCAACGACCTTCTCCCTCTATCTTTTTCAACGACCTTCTCCCTCTTTTTATTGACATTTAAAAGCTAAAATGGGATAAAAATAAATTTTTAGAGTGAAACATGATTAAAAAATAAAATAACATGGATCAAATATACATAAATTAACACTCCATGGACCAAATTAAAGTTTTTCATGCTTTTGGAAATGAAAATGAAAGGGGCTATGTTTTTTTTGTAAAATTTGGTGCTTGTTTTTCATTTTTTTTTAATTTTAACCTAAAATTTTATTTTGTAATATTAATCTCTAATCTAATGTTGAATATTCTTTGATACTTCGCATATGTAAAAGCAAGCAAACTGAGCAAAAAAAATCTTAGCATATAAAATTATACTAGATAAAATTACAAAGCAATAAAGTTGAATAATCTAATTTAAAAAAATTAGAGACCTAATAGAAAATACACCGTGGGTGCACGATAAGAATCCACAATAGATTTGTCTTTTTTTGCCACTAAAAGGAATTGTAATATAATATAATTATAATGCTACAATTACCGCTAGTAAAATTCAAAAAGGGTCACGCCACAGAAATGGAGAGATTGGGGAGTGAGAGAGAAAAGGTATATTAAAAAAAAAAACAAAAAAAAATACGATCATTTTCTCAGTTGAAACAACTTGCATATTACATATGACTGCATAAACATTAATTTAATTGATTTAACACGTGGGGGTCATGAGTAATTTTATTATATTTAAAGAATAATTAATGATGTTTTATTAGTTTTTTTATAAAATTTGTTCTAATAAAAAAAGAGATATAATTAAAATAAGAAAATTTTAAGTGGAGATATATTTATTATTATTTAAGATTTGTAGATTTTATTTTTTTATATTTGTCTTTTTAAAAAAATAATTCTTGAAAAATATCTAATAGTAAATCATTAGTTATTCCCAATAAAATTTATTTTCCTGTGGGTGACCCCCACTCCTTCTGTCCTCTAAAATCTGCACCGTTCATACCACCCCGCTCACTCTCTATTTATACACCCTTCCTCTTCTCGTTCACTCCCAACCTGCCTTCTCTTCGTCTTTGTTAATTTTCTCATTACCGACACAAAACACCTTCCTCTTTTCTTATCAAGCATTTTATCTATACAGCTCTCTCTTGTCAGCATCGTTAATGGCTTGTTTGGAGGTTTGTAAGGAGGTTAGTTGAAACCTTCTAGCTGTTCTCTTGGATCTCCTTATAAGTCTTTTTTGATATGCTGCTCCTCCTCCTCCTCCTCCTTTTTTTCCCCACTACGTACGCAGAGATGATTTTAATTTAAGAGCTTTTACCCTCTCTTTTTTTCCCATTTCTTGGCTGGCTTAAACCATACTGCAATCCATGAAACACAGACATTATAATTGATGTTGTGCGGTTGTGATTATACTTTTTAAGTTCTAGTATTTGTTTTTCTTCTTGGTCCTGAAGATGAATTTACTAGCTGTATTACAATGGGATGAAAATGTACATATGCAGGGTAAGTTCAAAGAGGGACGAGAAGAATGCACTTTTGATGGAACAGTTGATTGGCATGGTCGTCCTGCTGTCAAAGCCAAATCTGGGCAATGGGTTGCTGGAATTATTATACTTTGTAAGTTCAAATCCTAACTAGCATAAAATAATTAAAGATGACCAAAAATAATACTTTTCTCTATGAGAATACTGCTTAGTTTTTCTATGGTTGTTCTTCCCTTTCGAAATATCTCCCAGTTCTGCATTCTTTTCTAAATTCAAGCAGCCCTGTCGATTACTTTAAATGGTCATTGTCACAGGTACTGTATATGTTATTTTTCTGGCTAGAAATTCATGGGCCCAAAATCCAAATTCCTAGTATTATGGGTGCATGTTGTGGTATATGTCATATCATCACATCGATCTATATTTTTATTGCTTGGTCCTAACGCACTAGGGAATATGTCCCATGATCTATCCACCCAAATATACGTGTGTGTATCATTTACATGCTTATTTTATATGTAGAAATTGCTGAGAAAAATATGTTCTTGTAAATAGTCATGCCCTCCTTTTGATTTACCAAATTTCTTTGGGAAAAAGAAGAGAGAGATGGGTTGTAATGATAAGCACATGGTCCTTTCGTCTTTGCAAGCAGTATAAAATTTCCAGTCTTGGAAAAGATGATAAAGATAAATGATGAACGTGTAAGGAGGAGCACTGAAACGGAGAACAGGTGTTGGACTCTGGCTACATGCCAACCTTGAGGCAGCCACTAAATGCAAACTTGGACTCTGGCTACATGCTGCCCTTAAGGCAGCCAATAAATGCAAACAGCAAGACATAGCTTGGTTAGATATGGATAGGAACAAGAAAAAATCCACTGGAGTTTTAGAGAGGGATAGAGACAGCACGGGAAGGAACTCTTTTCTTTTCTGAGTTTGCCAGTTAGCGACCATTTTCCAGGACTACTACACGACACCATGGAAAGTGGGGTGAGGAAAGCATGCATTAAAATCTTACCTGGCACGTAACTATGTCTACTTCTTTGCATGATCTGGGTTTCTGCCACGTGTCGTTTACAACCCAAAACGAAAAAACCCTGATCTCAGCACGATACATGTTGCAGGCCTATATATGCCCATGGCCATGCGCATGCATGCATATAGACTGCATAATTATCCTGAATTCAGGTGATTATCTTGGACTTACTACTAGATGTACCTTGGCAAACGATTATAAGCTCCTCACCTTACCAATAAGTTTCAAGGAGTGACTAGTAATAATAATTATATAAAAAAAATAGCCTGATTATAGATCATGATTTGCTTAGGTCAGCCGCAGAAAATCCTGTCATAGTCTTAGGCAAAAGGTCGTCACTTTTGTCATCTACAGAGATCATGACGCTCAACAAGCAGGGAAAAAAATGAAAGAAAGGAATTTTCTTTTTAATTAGATAGTGAAGGAGAGATAAAGCGAAGGGCAGCAATCAATTCCTGTTTCTCTTGCTTTACACCCATTAAAGTTAAAATCTCACTAGTTGGCCAAAGGAATTAAAATTCAGCAATAGGGGGACTCTGGAAGAAGCAATTAGAAAGAAGTTTCTAAGGCAAATTAGATGTGAAATACGTGGTTGAAGTCGCTTGAAGTACTTGAAATTAATTCTTGCAGAGATCTTTGTCACTCTTTTATACAAAGTAGGACAAAAATATCAAGTTCTAACGTGCTTGTCATTTTGCTAAATATGAACTTCCCCAGCACATGAATGATGAGAGGTGTGTGAGGATAATGGGAAATGATTGTTACCGTTAAATTCAGTAGCTGGTAGAGCATATGACGAAAATATTGTCGATGAGACGTTTCGATCTTCCAGATTGATTGATTTGAGTCACCCAATTTGTTTTCTAGGCACACCACTCTCTGTGGATCCGAAACTTTGGTGGGATATAGTTCAGCTGGCTGGGATTATTTTTATTTTATTTTATTTTTTTGTTTGGAAGGTCCATTTGGCCTAATTATGCTGTCCGAATCCCATTAAAAAAAAAATTATCCCGTTCATTTTTTGTTTAATTTGATTAAAAACTCAGTTTTCAACAAATACAGTTTCAACCTAATTTTTATTTTATTTTATTTTTTTGTTTGGAAGGTCCATTTGGCCTAATTATGCTGTCCGAATCCCATTAAAAAAAAAATATCCCATTCATTTTTTGTTTAATTTGATTAAAACTCAGTTTTCAAGAAATACAGTTTCAACCTATTTTTAAACACAGTTTAATAACAAAAAGACAACATAAGCTATAAGCCCTGCTTACTGGAGTTCCTTCCTGCTAGAGGAAAAATACAGGTACCCATTGAACTACATGGTCGAGGAGTTCTCCAGCTCTGGTCATTAATTAGAAATACGATGAGATATGATCTTTTCTTAACTTAATTTACTAATTAGAGAAAGTAAAAAACCAACAACGAGTTACGGAATTTCTCAAAACCTAACAAATGGTTTACAAAATTTGTGATAGTGGTTATTATTATTATCATTATTATTATTATTGTTTTTAATATATGATTTGAAAAAAAAAAAAAAACAGAAAACATAAACTATACTCAATGCTCCTAAATTAATTAGTTGTTACAGGGCTCTTTCTTTTACTTTCTGCAGAAATGGAAGGTAATGAAGGAAATATACAAAACCTGCATTATACCCTGTAGAACTTTGCTATGTAGTATAACCTTAATCCATCAGCAATCTAGCCCGCTTTACAAATGTAATTTCCACTCGATGTTATTAATGATTAATCCATTAAAGTTGTCATTGAAGCAAACGTTTAAGATATTGTACCTGTAGTTGTCTGGTTTAGAAATCCCTACAAAATAAAGCCTCTAAACTATGAATTCTGTGTTTGTTTCTGTTCTGTGAATCTCAGTGAACCAAGGTCTAGCAACACTTGCATTCTTTGGTGTTGGTGTGAACTTAGTTCTGTTCCTGACAAGGGTTTTGCAACAAAGCAATGCCGATGCTGCTAATAACGTTAGCAAATGGACCGGGACCGTCTACATCTTCTCTCTTGTTGGTGCTTTCCTCAGCGATTCCTACTGGGGAAGATACAAAACCTGTGCAATTTTTCAGGTCATCTTTGTCATAGTAAGTTACTTTGACTCCGAATCTTCTCTAATACATTCTGCATTCAAGTATAGCTTGCATATTTCGCCTCAAAATTTGCAGAAAGATTTGCACAGTAAGCTTTTAATCCATTAAGTTGTGCATGTAATTAATCGAGTGAACGTCAGCGAATCTGCTTACGAAAACTAACATCTAAAACATTAGGCAGTGTGTAGATGCTGCGATCTAATTGTATACATATTCTAATTGCTTCTTTTGTGTCTTAATTGGCAGGGCCTAGTAATCCTATCACTCTCGTCATACCTTTTCTTAATCAGACCAAAAGGATGTGGGAATGAGCTGACTCCATGTGGATCCCATTCAAGCATGGAAGTTTCATTGTTTTACCTCTCCATTTACCTCGTTGCTCTGGGAAATGGAGGGTATCAACCTAACATTGCTACATTTGGGGCTGATCAGTTTGATGAAGAGGACCCCAGGGAAGGACATTCCAAGGTTACATTTTTTAGCTACTTCTACCTGGCTTTGAACCTCGGTTCCCTCTTTTCCAACACCATATTGGGGTATTTTGAGGATGAAGGGGCGTGGGCACTAGGATTCTGGGCGTCTGCAGGTTCTGCCTTAGCAGCATTGGTCTTGTTTCTAGGAGGAACAGCTAGATACCGGCACTTCAAACCAAGTGGTAACCCTCTCTCCAGGTTGTGCCAAGTCATCATCGCTGCAATGAAGAAATGGAAGCTAGAGATGCCACGAGATGGAGAGGAGGAGCTGTATAATGTCCATGCAAAAGATTGCTCGATGAATGGCAACAGAAAGATTCTCCACACTGATGGATTCAAGTAAGTATTGAGAGATAGGTCACGAACTCATGAACTTAATTTATTCAAATTCCACAGAACTGATAATCCTCACTAAAAGAAAATCTAGATTGTTTGGGTAGTTTGACATCCATTACACGTTACTTATAGGAATCAATTTTATCCAGTTTATCGTGATTCGAACAAACTGGGTATCTTAGACTCCGTGAAACAAGCATTGCAAGTTCCTTTTGATCAATAACAATGCTAACCCGTGTTCATCCACGTATTATTTTAGGTTCTTGGATAGAGCTGCTTTTATCTCTTCAAGAGATATTGATGATCAAAAGAGGGGCTGTCGCAACCCATGGCGTCTCTGCCCAATTACACAAGTAGAAGAAGTTAAATGCATACTGAGACTACTCCCAATTTGGCTCTGCACCATAATCTATTCAGTGGTTTTCACACAGATGGCCTCTCTGTTTGTTGAGCAGGGAGCTGCAATGAAAACTACAGTAGCAAACTTCAAAATCCCTCCTGCCAGCATGTCTAGCTTCGATATTCTAAGTGTTGCGTTTTTCATTTTCCTATATCGACGAGTTCTTGATCCACTTGTAAGCAGAGTTAAAAAGACAGGTTCAAAAGGACTAACTGAACTTCAAAGAATGGGTGTTGGCCTTGTGATAGCAATAGTGGCAATGATTTCGGCTGGGCTTGTGGAGTGTTATAGACTCAGGTATGCAAGAAAGGACTGCACACACTGTGAAGGCTCAAGCTCTTTGAGCATCTTCTGGCAAGTTCCTCAGTATGCACTTATTGGAGCTTCTGAAGTTTTCATGTATGTTGGTCAACTGGAGTTCTTTAATGCACAAACTCCTGACGGATTAAAGAGCTTCGGGAGTGCACTTTGTATGACATCTATCTCGCTAGGGAATTACGTGAGTAGCTTGCTTGTGACTATGGTTATGAAGATCTCGACTGAGGATCACATGCCCGGATGGATCCCCGGAAATCTGAACAAAGGTCACCTGGATAGGTTTTACTTCCTCTTAGCAACCTTGACAACGATAGACTTAGTTGTGTATATGGCATGTGCTAGGTGGTACAAGTCTATCCAACTGGAAGGAAAGTGCGAGCTGAATGATCAGGAAGAGAACTTCAGAGTCTGATGTACTAAATAAAATGTCACGGAAAAATGTTAATGCTTATGGTACCAGCATATATATACAAATGCATACATACATATATATATATATATATATATATATAAGAGGGAGGGATTGGGGTGACCGTTAACATTTTGCAGAAAGTTCCTGTATCAAAGGAAAAGGTGGGTCTAAAGGGGAGAGTGCAAGACCTTTTCGCTGAACTCCCATGACACCCATTTGTCTCAGTTTCTGCAACATACTCCCCTTTTCACTCTGTTTCTGAGTTTTTCTGAAGTTAGGTTAAGTAGAAAAGAGTATAATGAGGCGGGCAGCTTTTGGTTCAACTTACCTCATTCTAACCCGTTGATTCTATTGCAAGCCATGGAACTAGCATCAGTTTGTATTGAATTTTATGTAAAATGAGTTGGCTTGATTGCTGTCTTTCTAGAATGATTTCCTATTATATATTTAATTGTGTTTGACAATAATAAGAGCAGTATATCTTCTCTCCAAATTTGCACTTCTCCAGCCCCTTCACGCAAACCACCAGCACTTGGACTGCGAAGCCATCCTTCCTGGGGCGGATAAGACAACGTAATTCTTGCTTGCTTCACTGATAATCCTACAGCAATTTTCTCGTGCTCATGCAAGCATTAATTCTATAATTACAACGACCAATTAGATTTGAACACTAAACTTGGACAGATGCCAACCAAGTGAAACATATTTGAAATTGGTCACAAGAGCTAAAGCTGGTAAAGCATTGTAAGATATACACGTCAGTAATCATAAAACCTCACTCTGCCTACTAGGTTTCAAGTGTAGATTGGTTTCAAGGGAGCAAGAGCACTCAGGAGGAAATGAATAAATCCAGATCAAGTCCAATGCGCTGTTATACAGTGCGCACGGTAATACTGGTGACAGTAGTTCAATTATTTGTTACGACTTGTTTCACAGTAAAGGTTCTTAATAAAGGTTCTCTGATGAGGGTATAAAAGGGAGAATAAACAGTACACATAAGCTGGAGTTACGAGGCTTAGGTTTCAGAGATGTCCTGGTGGCTCTTAATTCTGACAGAAATTTTATGTTTTTACGGTCTAGAGAAATTCATGGGGTAAAAAGGAGGGGGGGGTTGATGGAAACCTTCTGGTTATTAAAACAGAATTGACTCCACCAAGGGTTTTGTTGTCTCCAAAACACTATATTCTAAAGAGAGGTCCACAAATGCATCGAGGATTCTGTTCAGCCAAATCATATGGCAAGTACCTTGAGTCTGATTTCTTCATGCAGAGAGTAGATGAGAACTCTCAAGTGTCTGGAAAGGTGGAAAAGGGGCCTGCTCTTCTCAATCAAGAGTTCTTTGTTTTTTTTTGTCACGAGACACGTACACCCCTCCCATGGTTTAAACCTAATGCCTCTTAGTAGGCAACCCAGGCCTTGAGCATCAGGGTGTGCTCCTTAGGAACACTCTAAATGCTGACTTTGAATACATTGCTGGCTCAAAGAACAACAATTGAAGTTCCAGGGTGGCCGAGAATGACGCTGAGATTGTCGCGTCCTAACAAATGGACCCTGGTAGATCATGAAGGGCCAAGACAACAGTGCAGGATGATCATGGATTTCCACTCAGATATCGGGCTGTCAATTTATACCAATATTATAGTCCCAACCACTATCAAAGTGTTATGTTTTTTTTTTACCAATTAGTAATGGACTCAGACAGATAGGAGCCACCAACAAGGCAAAACAATTACAACGTATCTGTTCTGAAATAGAGGGTCCGAAAAGAACATTATGGTGAAATCATGTTAAAGTGTAAATGATTCAGATAAAATCAAAAAATAATACATTAGTGGTCAGAAAAGCAAACCTCATTAGGATAAAACTAAAGCTAGATAAAGATACCTGTGCAGAACTTCAATTATAATACCCACAAGTCTAGGAGAGAATCAGCAAAGATAGACAACTGAGAAGGTTGACTCAAGTTGACAGCATAGCTGGAGTGGGACTCTTTATTTCTGATGAATAAACAAAGACTTGGACAAAGCGACAACCAAAAAAAGTCAAAAATAAATAGCACTTCAAAATACCAGAAGAATTGTCGCAGGACTTTAGTGATCTTCATAACATATAATCTAATCCAATCAGTAGAGTAATTTTTTCCACATCAACATCTTTGCAAAAAAAAATTGCCCTTGAGGTATTCAAACTCATTAGGATTTTTTCAAGTTCACTCTCGGAACAACAAAACTAGTAATTAAACAAAGATAAAATAACGTTCAAAATAAATATCAGCTGCTCAAACAAAAACCCGTTATCATTACAAAATTAGGACTGGACCTTGCAAACTTGAATGTGATGAGTAGATTTTAGACGCCAGATAGGTTGTGCTCCACTCTGGACAAGGGTAACGTGCTGTCCTTCCATCAATTGACCTTTATTCTAAAGCATGGAAAATATTTGAAAAGATTAATTTCATGAAGTGCTTTTCCAACTGTAGAAACAAGAGAGATGGAAGAATCGCTAACCAATAGCAGCTTGAATGCTCGAGAGAAGGTCTCCTCTGCGT